AACACTGGGTTTGGTGAAATGAGAAGTTTTCTTCACAGGACAATCAGTTGCACAGTTTGTCTGGCACCTCAGACGCATCGATAGTGGGAATCTTAAACACTGGGTTTGGTGAAATGAGAAGTTTTCTTCACAGGACAGTCAATTATACAGTTTGTCTGGCACCGCATACACATCGATAGTGGGCATAAAAAACCAAACCTGTGGAGACAGGCAAGAATGGGCCCAGGCTCTGTTGTGTAGTGATTGGTTTTTTGATTATATGAAGCATTATATATAATGTTTTTTGAATGATATATTCGTGACTAAAAATTAGAAAATAATTGAAAAAAATTCTCTTTTTTTTGTACACAAAAAAACATATTTTTAAAACTTTTTTTGTTAAATTTATCTAAGTTGATTTGTTTCATGTTTGTAAAGATGTAGTTTTGTAATCAATATTTCACTCTTTCCCTGATGTGCTTGTTTTGAAACTTTGTAAACTTGTGCTTTCTCGATGCTAATACACTATTTATATTTTCGGAACTAAATTATCTCTCAACGGAATAATTTGTTAAATTTTGATAAGATATCATTTATTTATTTTTTAAACATTGATTTCAAGATTTCGTAAAACTTATAATAATGAATTATAAATTAAAAACTTAAAATTAGAAACTAATTGAAATGAAAAAAAAATCTACTTTTTAACAATATTAACAAAGTTTGCTTTAAATGAATTTCTAAATATTGCTTCACATTTTTAATTTCAGGAGAAGGAATACAAACTCACAATTTACGTGACAGACGGTGTTCAGGTGAAGTTGCATTTCTTGTCTGATTTTCAAATAATTCTTGTAATTAAGACTCAAAAATTAAAAAAAAGTTGATAATCCACGATTAAGTTGATCAGCGTCTTTGTTTTGTTGAAATATTCGCATCTTTTTCAGACAACTGAAGTGGAATCCACAATCATCATTACAAACGCCACAAATATAAAATCGCCATTTCTCGACTACGAACCTCTCATTTCCGTTTCTGAGGTAAGTTTTAGCTTAGATTACTATACTTGGATTAAATAGAAATGAAAATTTTCAGGCTTGACTTGTAAATATGAAGCCAAATTGAAAATTAAATTCTGTTTGCGCCTGTGCGAGAAATAGGCGAGGATAGCAACGTCATACCTGTGGTTCTGTACGGTGTTCATTATACATTAATAGATTGGAAGGCTGTGTTGCAATAAAAATATCTCCTATATCGATTGAAATTGAATGCCGAAATAGAAAATATCGCCAAATGTGAAATGAGTGCTGCAGTTCAATTTTGTTATGTTAAGAATTTTTTTACAGCCGGGATTTATCGCAGCTGTGTGAGCCATACAAAACAACTTGTTGGAATGGGTAAAAGGTTTTTTTTTCACAAAATTTGTCCTGTTTAGAACTACAATGGCGTGTGGCCTCTGAGGAAGTATTGCCATTCTAGTTCTTTTCCATTTTTCTTCCATTTTGCTTTCATTCTAATTGTATTTATTACTTTCTAATTTTTCTTATTTGTGTTTTAATTATTTGAAAATTTCTGTTTTTAAATACTTTTATTTCTGTTTGTAAATTTTAGGAATACTCAGATGATGAAATCACTTAATGTTGCTGCGTTAGCGCGTATAAAAGGCGTATTGTTATCATTATTATCAATGTTTATTTTATTTTTAACTTAATTTTGAAGTTCTAATTTTGTTTTTTGTATTTTATCAGAAGCAGCTGCATATGCGCCTTTCTGTATAATGCAAAAATAATTTTAATTAATTTTTAATTTAATTTCTATTAAGATTTAATTTAATTTTGGTTAAATTTGATCAATTATAACTGCCATACAAAACAAGCTTCAGAGCACGGTAAGTTTCCCTGCGATCATGGTTCACGATAATGCTTTTCCGCGCATAGTTTTTTAAAACGCACCCAAGAAATTTTGCATAAGATCCGTTGAAATGTTTTCGATCAATCTCATGTAACCCAGATTTGTCACCCAGTGATAACCATCTCTTCAGCACCTGAAACAGTGACTTCCACCTTACCGTCTCGACGATGGTGAAATTATTACAGGGTGTCTTTGTTCCCTGGCTGTAACTTTTCTTAAAGAAGGACCTTGTAAAGCGTAATGATAAGTGCATCTATCTTGAATGGGGATTATTTCGCAAAGTACTGTAACCTTGTATGTTTTAAATGTGCGTAGTAAAAGATTTGTATCTACGAGTGTGGTATTGAGCACTAAACGAAACGTTCGAAAATGAAATCTTGCAAAATACTTTGTAAAATTTTTATCGACTCGAAAAAGTCGAATTTTTGATGTGAAACCTGTAAAGCGAAGATAATGAATCGGAAAAACTACGATGGAAATCGAGAGAAAAGACAGTAGCGCATACGTACCCACTTATTTTGATATAGCTGCGTTAGCAATCAGCGATTGAGAGAGAGGAATCGATATAAATTTTAAGCAATGTTTGTGCATCAGAGTAGAAAGGTAACATTTCTGTATCAATATGCGTTTCATATAGGTTTAGTTTATGCGCCTATGATAGAAGGAGACTGTGATAACTAAGTCAATGAATGGGTTTGAGCAGCTTAGGGATACAAGGACAGTAGTAGATGTTTGTGACATTATAAAAAAATTGTAAATGTCCTTTTGTTTACTCGATAAAAATATCACAAATAGTTCGTAAATTTTAAATAATTATAAATAAAATGTTGCATAATTGGCATAATCTAGTGTAGAAGTTCAGTTTTATTACCCGTGACAAATGTTTCAATCGAAGGTTGCACAAATAACGTCACAAAAGCTTTTATAACTATAAATAAAATTGATTGAGAAACGAGTCAAATGACGTCCTAATTGAATGGACAGTTTGGATAAGGGAACGAATCTAAAACTGTTTTGTCGGAGCAACAAAAATAAAAATTCCTATTTTTCTTCTTTATTGTTTTTTTTACCAAACTTTTTTCTGAGATTCTTTAGATTAGTGGTTTACTTAGGGATTTTCTTTCCCTTTTTCATATTTAACAATGAGTATCTTTATCATAACACACATTTTGTGCACGTTGTGTGCGTTTCGATTTGTTGGTGCTCGTTCCCTTTCTTCAGACTGCTGATTTGATTTGACATTTGAACTACAGAACTCTGCAATTGAGCATATGAGTTCTAAAAGATGCCCGGTTGACTATATAAACCGAGTTTTGCCGAATTTGACTTTCGCTTTTGTGCTTTTCTTCATTTGAGGGAAAATGGGAAAGCCTACAGCTAAAGTTCAACGAAGGGAATAAATCCTATTGCGCACTGATTTTTCTGAATCTCATTTTACCTCAAGTGCACTGCGATGGTTTTTAGATACTTTGATTTAACTTGACTTGTATAATGTTTATAAAGTTGGAATTGTGTACTAAATTTTCATTCACTTCCTGAATGTGCTAGAATTGCGAAATTTTGTTCAAATTTGTGTTCTCGATGACAATACACTACTTTAATATTTTCAGTACTAAACTTTCAATTAATAAATTAATTCAAATAAATTTTGATTCTGTACAAGTGGCGCCACCTGGTAGTGGATTTGAAAAATAAACGATTTCAAGATTTCATAATATTTATGATAAAAAACCGTAAATGAAAGACTTTTTAAGTGCAAAATAATTAATACAAAAGTTGTACTTTTTCGTTTATTAATAAAAGAGTGTTTTCCAGCTGACCGACGAGAAGGAGGTCATCGGCAGCGTGGTGGTGCGCAAGCGCAACAGCAGCAGCCTGCCGGTCCTCTTCGAAGTGGAAGGATCGGACAAGTTCGCCATCCGGTACCTCATCAGCCCCCTCAAGGAGGCCACCAAGGCGGAAATTTTTCTCCTCCAGAAGCTCGACTACGAGAAACAGAACCTCTACACACTCACCATCTACGCCCTGGTACGAATTCTTCAGTCCTTTGTTCTCTCTGTTAGCAACAAAACCCTTATCTTCTATGCCCTGGTACGAATTTTCAGTCCTTTGTTAGGATTGGAAGCCTCAGAACCCTTATCTTCTATGCCCTGGTACGAATTCTTCAGTCCTTTGTTCCCTTTGTTAGCAACAAAACCCTTATCTTCTATGCCCTGGCACAAATTTTCAGTGGATCGTAGTCTTTTGGTGTCTAATTAGTATTTCAGCATCTATGTCTTGGTATTAATTTTACAGTTCATCGTAATCCTATATTGGTGCTTTTTAATAGTACCTTGTTAGAAATATTATTTTAAAGCGGTACAACAGGAATTTAAATAAACCAGATGTCCAAAGGTTCCGAACGCTGAATGATGAGTAGGTAGATGAATTGGTAGCGAGCTACTAATACCTGGTGCAATGTGCAACTCCGGTTCGAAACGGGCCAAAATAAAAGACGGAATATTTTTATTTAACGCATTGACTGCCGGTCATGTGAAGCCATGTTGATAGTTAATGCCGTGACACAGGAATAGGTTGTACCTATTGTTAAGGAGTAACCTAAATGTTAAAGAGTCATCTATGCTGCCAGTAAGATATTAATGGCTACTTACTGTGGTAGTACACTGAAAAGGAAATTCATTAAATTTGGCGTTGTGACGCCTGAAGTGGCCACTGAAAAATTCAGGGTTACCAAAGAATAACACAGTATTTGCTAAATGCTAAGTTTATTGTTCTACCCT